TACAAATGGATTTGCACAGGAACCAATTTAAAAATTATTATGGGAATGGAAACCAGACAAATAAGCAACAGCAACATATTTTAGATATTATCTTTCAAACATTTAACCTGATATAGTTGTAACAAAGACCGAAAGGATGCAAATCAACTACAAAGTCCTAAATCAGAAACACTCAGATAACAGGAACATTCCATCCAAATTTCTTAGCAATCAGCTAACACAAACACAAATAAATAACACAGAAGCTAACAGAGAAAGTGCAACAAAATTCCAATTATTTTCTAAAATAAAAGCTATTTTTTTTCCAAAGATTTATGTGTCATCTTAGTAGCTGGATGTCCTGCTAGTTTAGATGAACATCCATCTAGAACACTTCGATAACTCACAGAAGTAACTCAAGAGACCTTCAAGATTACAGCTGCTTTCTTCTCCATATATTCTCAAACACACTGAGTCCACTGAAAGCAGACAAATATCTGACTTGGCAGGTTCTTGTCTGAATTTGATATGCTAACCACATTGTGTTAGAAAACCTGTGGAGCCTTCTAGACCCAGTAATACTGACCATATTACCTGTTATCCAGTGGTAGGGAGATAGCCAGCTGAGGAACAGCTGTGGGGATGATGAAGCAATTGCCAGTCCATGGTAAATATGCATGGCTTGTGTATTCTGTAACTATTACGTGTATAACAGTTTTAGTTAAGTTTGGCTCAAGTACTAGACTATGAAAATGAGTTGAAATTTTCCACTGTCTTGCTTATTGTATTTTGCACCAAGTGAGCATCTGAACTCGTACTTCCTGCTCCCACTTCCCCTTCTCAAAGCATAGTTTTCAAGGCCAAAATAGTAGAATTTAGTTGTCTGGGAGATGTATGGTGGGCATTGTTTAGGTTTTCTTTGTGAACTCTATGAACAGAGAGAAAGTATTATTCTCAGTTTCATTCTGGAGGATTTGGATAAGATAAAATAGCAATGGATTTCTTCTGCTCAAGAAAAGGAAATGAAGGGTGAGGCTTTCTAGCAGCAGATTTTTTATGGTATTAGTAGCTGATATCTAGATAGAATTATGCAGGGTTTTAATACACAAGTTTGCCAGTCCCAGAACTAGGGTGAAATTGCAGTTAGAAATTAATTAAAGCCAAATTTAGAACCAGCTAAGACAATAGAGAATATGGATTCAGTTGATTATCTCAGTACACTGAAGCAGATCTGAATAAAAAGCCTACAAGAGAAACAAACATGAGCTTGTTCCAGCTGCCTCCTCTGTCTGAAGATATAGGTCTTCTTTGTGCTGGTGGTGCAGATCTGAAGAAAAGAAAACAAACAGGATGTTCACAGCACAAGGCTGAGTTAGGATTCTTTCAAATACCAGAGGTTTGTTGCCAAAGATGAAGTTTGCAGTCCAAGTGCTAAGCTAGAAGTTTCTTTATAAGTGCTTGCCACCAGATTCCCTTTAGCTGTCATGACGTTATAAATAGGGCATCTGTGTGCAGAACCCTGAGAAATTTCTTTCTACGTTGTTTGTCCATACTACTTCAGCTTCCTTATTGCTCCACGTCCATGTACCATCTCTGGCTTATACCTGAGAAAAGTATAGAGCTCTTCTAGAGAGCAGCAGTCCTAGAAGTCTATATTTTTAAAGTGCTTGATACAACAGTATCTGGAACCATTTCTAAGACTCCCTGACACTGCAAAAATGCAAGTAATAAATACCACCACTAATAGGTTGTATTAGGCTGCCTCTCTGCTTATGTTTGTAAACCATCTCTGCCATCTAGTGGGCAGTTTTTTATTTGCATGTTTTCTTCAAACCTGGTGTCAAAGTCAAAAAAGGAGTCTGAATTTTGGCTCAGCAGGAATACAGTTCCTGGAGAGGAGTTAAGGGGCACTATCATTACCCAAGAAGCTCCAAGCAAACCACAGCACCTTCTGGGCCATCCCTCTGCCACAGCCCTCTCCTGTGGAGTGCCGAGGTAACAGGAGCTGTGGTGACAAAAGTCTCGTGTACGACTGATGCTTCTGTGCTCGGGACATTAAGCTCTAGAGGAGGAGAAGCCAGCTATCAGTATTGTAACAAACAGCCATAGTGAAAGGGGATGCAATGAAGCCTGAATGCCTGTGGTCAGTATTTATTGCTGAAGTATGAAAATGTCCTATGTGTACACACAATGCAAATGAAGCCTTTCCTTAACAGATGTCATAGAACCATAGGATCATAAAGTGATTTGGGTTGGAAAGGACCTTAAAGATAATCCAGTTCCAACCCCCTGCCATGGGCAGGGACAGCTCCCACCAGACGAGGTTGCCCAAAGCCCCATCCAGCCTGGCCTTGAGCACCTCTGGGCAGCCTGTTCCAGGGCTTCACTGCCCTAAGAGTGAAGAATTTCTTCCTAATACCTTATCTAAACCTACCCCCTTTTAGTTTAAAGACATTACCCCTTGTCCTATCACTACACTCCCTGACCACGAGTCCCTCTCCAACTTTCCTGTAGGCCCTCTTTAGGTACTGGCAGGCCGCTATAAAGTCTCCGCGGAGCCTTCTCTTCTCCAGGCTGAACAACCCCAACTCCCTCAGCCTGTCTTCAAAGGAAAGGTGCTCCAGCCCCTTGGTCATCTTTGTGGCCCTCCTCTGGACTTATTCTCATATGTCCATGTCCTTCTTGTGCTGGGGGCCCCAGAGCTGAATGCAGGGCTCCAGGTGGGGTCTCACGAGAGCAGAGCAGAGGGGGAGAATCACCTCCCTTGACCTGCTGGTCACACCACATTTAATGCAGCCAAGGATACAGTAGGCCTTCTAAGCTGCAAGTGCACATTGCCAGCTCATATTGAGTTTGTCATCAACCAACATCCCCAGGTCCTTCTCCTCAGCATGGTGCCTTAGCATAGTTTCCAGAAGGATCTGCTCCATGATCTTGCCAAGTACAGAGGTGAGACTGACTGGCCTGTAGTTCCCTGGGTCTTCCTTTTTTTCCCCGTTTAAAAATGGGGGTTGTTTTACCCCTCTTCCAGTCAGTGGGAACTTCACCGGATTGCCACAACCTATCACTTAGGATGGATAGTGGCTTAGCGACCACATTCACCAGTTCCTTCAGGGCCTGCAGATGTATCTCATCAGGTGCCATGGACTTGTGCACCTTCAGATCCCTTAAACATCCTTGTGCTGAGATATATGCTCTTAATAGTAACACCACTACTGACCAAACTGTTCCCATGTCAGCTAACTGATCATCAGAGAGGGAGAATCCATCTACAGAGAAAACAGATCTAGAAGATAGTCATCAAATAATTTATCTAACACCTGCTTAAGGCTCTTTTGGAAAGGGCAGCTAATTTCAATGAAGATGTTATTTGTTGCAGAGAAGTGATTTGCGAAAGAGTGTAAGTATTCATTCATATTAAGTGTTTCAGATACTTAAATTTCAGAGAGCTGCAATAATTTTTAGCATGTAGATTGGGAAGCTCTGTCTTGATCAGGGATAGCATAGATACGAAGTGTATTAAACCTATTGCATTGCCATGCACACAGGAAGGAATGTAAGGCTCAGGAAGAAAAGCAGGAAACTTTTCCTGATGAGGCTGAAAAGAGCCAAGTCCGTGACACCTATGAGCAAAAGCCTTATCATTCACTGACAGGACAAGGAGACCCTGTTTAATCCACTATGCAAGTGGTATCCACTAAAAAACGCCTCAACAAGCCAGGAACAGGTTGATTTTAATATCTACTCCCTAAAAGGAGTCTAGAGCTTTCAGTGATTTCTAAAATGCTGCTGTTTTCATTGCATGTTTGTTTATAGGTTGGTGCTGGGATATAATTTGGATATAAATTGTCACATGATGAGTAAAAATTTTCAGTGACCCACAGAAACAGAAGAGTACTCCTTTTCTGTAGGAGTGTATTAAAAACTGAACGCATTCTATGGGAAGCGATATACATCTCCTTTTTTGTACTAAGTGAAGCACTACTGCCACACAACGTCCATTCAGAGGCAGGCAGAACATATCCAAACCTGAGCACAGGAGTTGTGTGCTGCCATAACCAGGGACAGCAAATCAGGTTTTTGATAGCAGAGATAATCATCGCAGTATTACAAGGGTTTTAACATACAAAAGATTTGCAAGTGCTTGAATTAGGGTAGAAGGGGCAGTAGAAAAGATGTGGCCAAATGTATGGACTGTGAATAAAAATAATAAAACTAGAGAACAACTTCTACATATTTATGTATCCTGCAAGTTTCCAAACTGTGAGGAAGTTTTCATATTCAGATGTTCAAGTACCCATGTGTACCTATATATGTAACAACATATAGTTTAAAACACAAGTGAAAACACACCTCTTTCCTGTAAAATTAAATGAAATGCATAATAAATTAATTTAATGCTTTTTACACAATAAATATATGTATATAAATAGGAAGGGGAACAATTAAACCTAGTGGGGGAGTGACACTTGCTAATTAAAAAAGGTTTATCTTGGATTTCAGCTGCATTTTCTGCAGATAACCTACGGGACCAAAGTAAATGTATTAAAAAGAAACTGAGCTTGCATGCAAAATGGAACATTAAAAAAACTTCCTTAAAATTTAGAACCAAAAGTTCAAGTAGCTGGAGAAGTGTTCTTTAGTTCTACTGTCATTTGACATACAATTTCATTATTTTTGGATGAATATTAATGAAAATAATTCAAAATTTTGGGTAGATTTTGCATTATAACACTGATATTTACAAACTTCATTCATACCATTAGTGATAAGCAGTGTGATTGTGTGATCAAAGACAAATGATTAACACCTAATTTGCAACAGCAGGAACTCACTGAGATTTGTGCACAATTTGTAGATAGAAATTATTTACTTAATACAAAGTAAGTAATAAACTTAATAATGCATATTGCTTATGGATGCTATATAGATGGTTGAGATGGAATCTGTTAATTGTTGACTTCTGCATTATTCACTTGGCTGCAATGACACTGGTGATGGATTGAACTTCTTTTACTTACGATGACAGAATACAGTTAGAGTCATCAGGATAATCCACACAGAGTAAGAACAGTACAGGCCTGTGAAGAGATTGTTTTATTTGCATCTTTCAGACAGAACACCAAGGAAAACAAATGAAGAAATGAAACAAACTCCAAAATATTATCATGTCTAAAGCTTCCCTTCAATGATACTCTGTGAATAACTAGAGCTGTGAATACTGCTGTTAATAATTAGTAATTCTGCAGACATTTAACACTTTTTCAACTGTTGCTTAGATTTTTGGTTCAAATACACATTCACTATGAATTGATACATGAGGACATCTTCTGTGTCTAATACTGGGTAAGTATAATGTTTCTCTTAATTATACAATTCTGCAATAATGCAGTGTTTTGCTTAATTCATTGCTGGAAAATGTTAAGTCTGTTGTACTTAGACACTTGTACTTAAGTCTAGCACTTAGACATTGGAAGCTAAGCAATAATTTAATATAGATCATTTGCTTCTGCAGATACACTGTATTTATGAAGGATTTTCACTTACTTGTAATTGTCAGTGCAGGTGACATCATAGCCAAGGGCTTTCAGTCGGTCTTCTAATATCTTTACAGTATTTTTTCCACAGGAATCTCTGTAAGAAAAGATTGTAATCTTATTGCATGTCTCTCATCATGCAATTTCTTTTCATTGGACTTGATGGAATTAGTAATATAAATCCCCATTACTTTGTCTCTTTTACGCTCCTTAACATACATAGAAAACTGATGCACATTGCTATTTATAATGCTTCATTTGGTTATAGTTGTTTAACATTTTATATTCAGTTTGCAGAGACTGGAGATTGGTTTCAGCTTCTATAGCATTTGCAGATTCCGTTAACCAACATTGAGATTTCACTACAGAAACAAGAAAAAATAATAATAAAAAATAATGAAGACTTTAATTTTTAATATTCTTTGTCAGGTGTTTAGCTGGTGATGGAGTCGATGCTGTCTTTACAGAATAAGCTGGTTATAACAAATTTGAATTATTCTTGTTGTTAGAAGCTTGTCCTCTTTCTTGAATACAAAGCAATACTAAAACAGGAGACAGAAAAAAAAACAAACAAAACCCCACAAACAGAAATAATCCTAAATGCTGCTTCTATATCTAGCATTGTTTTTTTTTTTTTTTTTTAATTTGGTCCAATTAGCAAAGAAAGCTTGGCATAGTATAGAACCTACTGAGACCTCTAAAAAGTGAACCAATGTCAAGTAGTAAGGTTTGTCACTTACCCATTGGTTAGTAAATACTCATTACTAAAGAAATCGTAGGTCGATCAACAAAATCACTGTGAAAAGCAAAACTGCATGTGCTATGTCATCACTTAAGGTTTGAGATCCACACATACATATCTCAAACTAACTGAGTGGACTCCAGAACTAATATGACAATTTATTTTTATTTTCTCTAATTCTCCTATTTATACAGTCTTTGTGAATGTCGGATTGTTCATTCTGTGTTAGTGAGAGCATCTAAAATATTTTTAGTTTAATTGCTATGCAATTGTAATGAAAGAGAAAACTAGGGTAAAATTTTAAAGACTGGTTGAAAAAGGAGAAGTGAGTTGTTTTTAGATGATACAACTTACCTATCTGGTCCTTGAATATCATCCACAACCCAGATCACAATTTTTGAGATCTTGTCTTTCTGGAGATTAGGTATTTCATAATCTGCAAAAAATCTGATAAAAAAAAAAAATAAAATTATTAGAACTATAAGGAACAGGGAAAAAAAATCCCTTTTCAGTCAGATCTCTTTTGCAATCAAGCCCCTGATCCTGCTGCAGCATATGAGCTCCCCTGATTTTACATTTATGTCTTCTGATTACAACCAGACTCAACACAGAGTTGAAAAAATCTGATTCACATTCTGAATGTCCAAAAAGTCATACACTTAATCAGAGGTTTTGTTTTTATATTCTTATTCTTAGAGGGTCTCAGCTGATTAAAGTCGTAACTTAAACGAGAACCAGAGTGAACTGAACTTTAAAGTGCAAAACCAAAAAAAAGCATTTGATATTTAGTCAGGAAAGATCATTCTTGTAGTTAATGCTCTTAGAGACAATACAATTCTGTTTAAAATAAAATATAACAACAGCCACGAGACAAATATATTTTTAGATATGAAATCACAGAAAAAAATAACGAGGTATTTGGTCTGGGAATACATAACACTGCAAGGGAGAAACTTCTAGATATGTCTGTCCCTAGCAGGAAGAATCTTCCACTTTATTGCCTTATGTAAATTTACTTTCCTAGGTAGTAAATACTATAACAATTAAAACCGGATAATAAAATGACAACTAAATGTTCTGACATCAAATGGGAGATGCCAAGTCCAGTGGATTATTTTAATGTCTGTAACTGATTTTCTTGAGAGATGCAGGTATTTTAAAGCCACAGATTTCTAACCCTTCCAGCAAGGATGTATTGTAATGTTTGCTGACCCTTTCATTGTTTTCTTTCTTTCCTCTCACGGAGCTTGTAAGGGCTGTGTTTTCATTGCATGTTTGGTGCGAGGCTGAGCCTAGGTATATGCCTTTTTTTTGCCTACCATTTTAGCATGTTAATTTAAACTTTCAGAGAAGTGGGAGGTGGTTACCAACAGTTGCCAACTTTGGTCACATCTGTGTATGGCTTTGGCTAACCAGAGGTCAGTAGCACCAACAGGAGGTTTGCCCGTCCAAGGTATTCAAGCCTGTCTAAAATACAGAGGGAAAATATATCTCTAACCCCCCTCAAAAAAAAAAAAAAAAAAGTTTACAGTTATTTTTTAACTTTTTTGCTCATTCATGCATATGTGATTGACAGCAAAAAATGCATGTAATGAAGTGAGATACACATCTTAATTTAAAATAGTTACAGGTGACTTAATGGTGACCTAAAATGATTTAAGAAATGATTTAAGTGTACAAACTAATGCAGCATGAACTATTGAAGTTCCTTTGAAATAACTGATGGAAAATAGCCCAGAGTGATATTTAGCAAGACAGGCAGATTTATTTTTATTTTTTTTCAAATTACCACCTGCTATTAGTTATTCAACTTTAAGCCTCTTTCAAAAAACACATCTTAAAGAAATTCAGTCATAAATGGGCTGGATAATACATAGCGAAGAACACAGATGGAGTAACTGGCTGTTATTTTTTTTCTTGGCAGGCTGTGTTCCAGTGGTGGAGATTTCACTTGCCAGAATACCACCAGGTAGGTAACTCAGGGAAATGATGGGAAGAATTAATGCACGTGTATGAGATTTCTGAAATAGTGTCAGCATCTCCAATGGAATCTGGGCATTGGCCTGCTGCCAACTAATATCATCTGCAGAAGATTCAGTTCTGGCTGACCACTTGACCAACTCAAGGGAACCATACAAGTCTTCTTGATTAGCTGAAAGCTGTGTACAGAGGTGGAGCCTTTGGGGGAATGGGATAAGTAGACAGTAGGTGTTCTGGAACAGGTGGTAGCTTTAAGAACTTCTTGTTTCCTCCTACCTGGAAATAAAATTAACTTCGCAATGATTATCAGTCTTCAGGGACATGGTGGAGTCACCATCCCTGGGGGTATTTAAGGAAAGGTTGGACATGTTTCTTAGGGACATGGTTTAGTGAGTGACATTAGTGGTATGGGGATGGTTGGACCAGATGATCTTGGATGTCTCTTCCAGCCTTAGTGATTCTATGATTTACTAAGTAAACAGGAGTAGGATATGTTCTGCGTTTTAAGATATTTTTTTTTGATCAGCCTTGAACAGGATGGCTGCTGAGGTAAGGAAGGATGTATATTTCACCAAAGACAGGCAGCCATTACAGCCACATACTCAGTAAAAGTTCTTAGGGACTTATTTTTACAATAGATCTCAAATACAAGCTTAGATGAACTTCTGCATAGTGATAAACTTGCAAATCAGGTAAAATACATCAATTCTTAATATAAGCAGGGAATAAGAAGAAGGAGTTAATGCTTTCCATTATCCTTCTTATTTTTTCTTACTTCAATGATAAGGAATCTCAAACTACTTTATCTCTGTCACAGAGAAACGGCAGGACCAAGCACTTTCCCTATAGAACTTACCCAGTTTGCTCCTAGACCCGACAATGGCTACACTCCCTATAACAATGTCCTCTCCTAGAAGATATCCCTGAATAAAAAATTTGTAATGCTCATTTTTCTGAAGACACAGAGGCTATAATTTTGCTGCAGTAGGTTGTCTGACTTGAATGCGGCTTTCAAAGAGACTTTATCCTACTTGCCATAGCAGCTTGTAAAATGCAAGAGGATTGCCTTCATCCATTTCATGTTGATTCCTACAGCTGGGGACAATTAACAGGTGTCCCCACAACTTAATAGACTTCCAATCCTTGTTGTGGCAGAAGACCCAGACAACTGGGTCAACAAAGGTTGACCTTTCTTTGCATGCATCAGACCTTGAATACATTATTTTGGGTTCACACACAGTTTTCTTACCCTTTGACTGGATAAGCTCCTCCTTCTGCAGAACCATTCAACAAGACATGTATCACCCCAGAGCTGTGCTGTGCATACTGCAATACAAAACGTTTTTTTTTTTTTTTCAGAACTCAGCTTACTGATTTGTTATACATCTTGGTATTGTCTTGCAAGCAAATGACGACCAAGGAGAGCATTTTACCAAGGAGAATACAAGAACGGTGAATATAATATCAAACCAGCACAGTAGGCTGCTCACTTCAGTAGAGAAGACAAAAACTAAACAGCCAATGCATTAATTCAATGTATCTTCTCAAACTACTTTTTTCAAACCTATAGACAGCTTCTTCAGTATAAGAATTAAGCCTTTTGGCACTCCTTGTTGGGCTTGATCTATGAATAAAGGGTTTTCTTCAAAGCTGTCAAATGTCACTTCAGACCTGTATTCTTTAGATATTTAGTATGCTTATTGTGCTTAGTATATGCTTAATATACATTAAGACAGCTAACACTGAATGTGAACACATTAGCTAGGTAAGTTGAAAGTGTTGGATTCCTCTTGCTAAATTATACCCAGCCTAGAAAGGATTATTTATACCAGAGGAAAAAATCTACCCCTATTATAACTTTAAATCTTTTTTTGATCCAGCAATGTTTCTTGAACTTCCCAGGACATACTCACTAATGCACCAAGTGAGCATTAATGCACTATTTACAGTGATTGAAGCCATCCTCCAGAAAGAATCCACTGCATTGTTTTCACATTCTTCCATGGTAGGGCAAGATTCATAGTCCAGTCCTGTAGGAAGGCATGTGATATGTACTGTTAAAGAGATGATAATGGCCATAAAAAGTGACCTTATAAAGCAATTACTAATAGTCCTGCATTACTCACTGAACATACACGATGGTCTGACATAACACAGGAAACTGATAACAGTATTTTTTCTAGCATTTTCCATCCTCTGCAGTTTACACAAACTATGACTTAATAATTTGGTTAAAGCAACTAATCCATACCTAGGATGCAATGAGCTCCACCAAAGGACCAAGGTTAATCTCCTGTGCAGCACTGCTTAGATTTCTCTGTGTTAAATATTCACACCAAATAGGCAAGAATGAGACAGTGAAGCTACCCTGATTTTTTGTGGGGTAAAATTACCTCCTCCAAAACATAGCAGTCGGTCTCCATTATGGTTATATGGAAAGACGTTTAATATAATATTAATTGTCTTACCAGTGCTGTTGGCCTGCCCACACCAGACTAGAAAATCTGCAACGAAGCCAAAGAGAGCATCACTCAGAGACATGTAGCGACGAGCTCCGCTGGTAAAGCTCTTGACTAGCAGCTGATTATTTTCCCAGAAGAGAGACTAAATAACAAAGGAAAAGAAAATGCAGAAGAAATGAACCATCACTTGGGTATGGAAACAATGAGATTATGGGGTGCTGAAAACATTTTAAAACATATTTTGGCATTTCTTTCAAAATCAAGCTACTAATTGGAAATGTTAGCTATCTCTTTGCAGGAATGAAGTTTGTTTTTACAGTGGTGTAAGTTCTGATCATTAGAGGCTTGAGGGATATTTTCACCATGCTGAGAATGGAAATAGACCCATATTAAATATAATTAGGCCCAGCTTTGCCCTCCTCGGCAGACATTTAGGAAAATGAAGAAAAGGAGGAAACATTCATAATCCAGATATATTGTAGAGAATTCTCTCATACTACTGTGCTGAATTATGATCTGAAAAAAATCAACGTCTAGCTGTTATTCTTGTGTTTGCAAAATGAGCTCATGAATGAAGTTATGTTGACAGGAACATTTGTTAGTTTAGCTTGTATCACTTAGAGATAAGGAATAATTGTGTGCACAGAAAAACTGCTTTGAAATACAATCTTTTAGAGAAGGCTAAAGCACACATTTAGATGGGATATGATGGCACTGTATCTCAATTCTAGTTATGCTAGTTTTAATATGTTCAACATGTCAAGGTTGAACATTCAGTGCCCTGAGACCTGGTGTGGGAGGACTGGGAGGAGAAGGAAGCAGCCAGCAGAGCTCCTAGCTTGAGGAAAAGTAGCTGTGCAAGTTCAGGGACTGAGACAGAGCTCCAGGCATGGCAGGAAAAACAGGGGACCTTTGTAGCATGAGAAGGAAGTAACACCAGTAAGAAAGGCACACAAATGCCAAGTGTTCACTGCAAAAGGAGTGAGGATGAAGAAATGGTAACATGCATACAGAACCAACGTGCACCAATGTGGAGCTGCTGGTACAGGGGAAGGAAGAGACAAGAACCATCCAGAACACCTTGAGGACAGAACTGACACGGGAGCAGGGTCTTCTGCACAAAGGCATGGAGTTGTAAAGTAGTACGGAAGGTTACAAAGATTACTGCATAAGCTACTGCACAAAATAAATGAAGAGATACACATTGAAAAGTGCCATCCAGCTTGAGCTTAGTTTGTAAAGTGCAGATGGGCCAAAATAATGAATCCTTATTCAGCCACAGAATGACTCTTGGTCTATTTTGAGCTACTATGTGATAGAAGATCTGCTGGATGTCACAGAACTGTTAACGTTAATAATCATTACCTTGTTAGCTGGAATTGTGTGAAATGCCAGTTTGATAAATAATTCATAGTCCTTAGGTAGAATGTTGCAAGGATGCTTGTTAATGAAAGCATTTCTGAAAGCTTCCCATAACTCCAAGCAATTCTTCTCACTGCAATCATTGAAATGAACAAATAGCAGAACTGTTTTTTATTTTTTTTTTCAAAGCAGAGCAAGAAACTCATTTGTTGACAATCTCTTTCAATTCAGTCCCCAAATGAAAAACCTCACAAGCAAAAGTTAGCAAGGACAAAGTAAACGACATCTTGTTATCTGTAGACCTTTTGTTATGTTTAAGCATCTTGTTATTTGAAAACATCCCAGTATCTGTTAACCGTTAGTCAGGCTGAGACTTGAGATAACTTGAGTCAATTATCTTGTCTTGTTAACTGAGACTTCCTGTTATCTGCCAACCCTCAGTTAAACTAAAAGCCAACTCAGCATTTTTACAGCTTGGAAAACAACTGATTAAGCAAAGGTGAAAAGTGCATTACGAGGAAGACCTACGGCCTTCCTCCCAAAGACCACTGCCCACATCCTGGAGACCCTGGCCCACAATTCTTGGAAGGTTTTGCGCAAGCGCAAGGACTGATAAGCTAATTAGCATACGAAGCGAGGGTAGGCGGGGTTAGGTAATGAATATGTATGGATGCTAATTGAATATTCATTGTTTCGCTGTATAAATATGAGATATTTTGTCACTTCGAACATGCACGATAGGCGGAAGGATCCCCCAAGGCTAAGACAGAAAATTCACAACTCAGGAAGAGCCTGTATCTCTTTTCTTTTCCCTGTTTCTTACAGCAGCACCTATCCAAAGAGATTAGGAAGAAATGAAATGCAATGAAAACACTATGATTTACAGTGTGGGATTAGAATTATTTGCAATTCGTAAAAACTTTTATAAGGTATTCATAGTGAGGTCTGATATCCAGCACAGTAGAAATGCAGTGTTCTTAGAAATTTGGGGGATTTGAAAAGTTTTGATGGCAGAATAATGGTTTTGATGAAGAAATGCCTTCCGTGTATGCAGGCCGTTGGATTATGGAGCTGTAACTTGCTGGAGTGAGTACAGTGGTTGTATGGGACAAGTACTGTCACTGTGTAGTAGCTGCAAGAATACTGTAAGAATTCAACATTTAAACTGCACATTGAGAGGAGGTGTGAAATGAGATGCTAGGCTGTGCACTTAGTTCTCTTCTGCCGCTTCTGCCTTGAGGACAGTCATCCGCAGAAGGACAGGACTGGTCATCGAGGGACGGAAGTGTCCTAAATCTCTGGATTGGCAGGAGCTCATCTGCGAAAGCTCTGAGCCTGCCTGGAGGAATTAAAAAGTGAACTGCTACTTTCATCACCTTTCCCACAGTGCCTTCCCCACTTACACTGTGACAACGTCTACGCTGGGAACACTCTGCAGAACAGAATAATGTGTTTTATTTGCATAAAGCATTCCTTGTGTGAGTGGTTGTAATTACAAAGCCGTAGCTTGAACAGGTTATAGTAGTCCCTGTAAGTAAACTAAACCTTGCAATTAGCATTTTGTGCATTGAATGTCATGCATACACAGCAGGCTTTCTGCTGGCACTTCTCCTCATGAGATTCTTTAAGCAGCTGTTTTGCGATGCTGCATGTCCCAGCTCATTTAATGCTACAGGACCCCTAATGATGAGCTAAACAGCTCCCATGCAGGAAAGAAACCGCTGACCTTCTCACAGTAATCTCTGCTCATGCTTCTGACACCTAGTTAAAAAACAGCTTTCCGACACCTATTTAAAAAACAACTTATCTTAAGCAAATACGGGTTCTTGATATGAAAATATTCAGTGGTGCAATATGACCCTTGATCAGCGGTTCCAATATTTAAATAGTCTTACCTGATAACAAGATTTGCACACTATTTCTAATTTCAAGCTCTTTAAACTCTCAGACTTTAAGCTCTCAAACTTTAGCTTCTGACACCTGTATATATTTATGTCTTGTTCTGCTAAAGAGCTGTTTACTGTAAGCACGCTCTTCATGTTAGTACTTGTAAATTATCATCAGCTGAAATCTTTGTTGACAGTTGAAACCAGCAGTAATTTTCTGGCTAATTCACTAGCGTTTTTTTCCTCATGTCATCTCATCTCAGGTTTGAACAGCTTGTAAATCAAAAGGATTATTTCTTAGCTTGCAAAATACTTCTTAAACTACTGAGTGGGAAAGGACTGTAGTTCAGGACAATTCCTTCCAATATTAATAGACACTCGTAAGTTGTATTAGATTTATTTCATAGTAGTCAGTTATTTTCCCCCAAAAACTTCCATTATATACTACCCGTAAAAAATATAGAAGAAATGCACTATAGGAACAGTTGTGTTTGTGTAATACAGCATAGTCCTATTAAAAAACTTAAAATATGATTTTCATTCAAATTCCTCACTTTTGTAAAACACCTCTTTTGCAACTTAGTATGTTCTGTTTTAATGTAAGGTTTTCCTTATGTTTATATAAACATTTTTAGGTTTTAATGTTATTGCAGTGTAAAGAGGTGTTTTGCCAGCTTCTTTTTTTGTTAGTAAAGTTTTTTATTTTATTTTATTTTATTTTATTTGCTTATAAATTCAAAAGCAAAAACTATACAGGTGGCTATGCCTCTCTAAAAGCTAGCCTGGGAGCAATTAAGAAACAGACAGTGAACAGAAAGGATAATAAATAATTAGAGTATCTGTATTGCACCTGTGCTATATGAAATTTCAATATTGTTTAGGTTACAGTATTTGCTTATAGACCTAAGGGAAAGAGAGTAAAAACACATAATATGAAATTAATTGTGCAGCTGTTCTTTTTATAAAGCCAACCTGAACTTTAACTCAGGAAAGCAGTGCTAAGGTCCTGCCTTGATTTACACTGTTCTAAGTAAGAATAGTTTGATGAATGTGTTCAGACTCCTCAACTTTACAATTTACAATAACTACCCTTTAGGTTGCTTATTTTAGAGTATTCTGTATTATTAGTTACGCATTTCTTCTGATAAAAATGAAACGACATCTATTAACTGTAATGGAAATTTTACCTATCTAGAGTATACTGCAAGATAAGACTTTAGATATGTAAACTACTGTTAACTGACTTAAGTTTTTGTAGTTTATATTATATTCTAGGTGTGTAGAGATATATAGTTAAAGTTCACTGGCACCTTCTGCTCTGACGTGTTTATATATTTGCCAAGCTTGAGTTGTTTAGATGAACTTTTAGTACTGTGTTATTTGCATTAGGATGATGGATTCTTTCATGCAGAACTTTGAGCAAAAGGGTTCTGATAGGGTAAGAATGCTATTAGGAGGAAACGTGTCGTTTTGCCTTCATTAAAGTTCATAAACCTGTCCTCATGACAAGTCTACATCTTCTGGTTTTGCAGGAGGAACTGAAAATGGGAGGTTGGGGGAAGGTGGTGGCATTTGCTATTATTATGCAACATAATCTAACTTTATATGAAACTACAAATTAACACTGCAGAGACCTAGCCATTCCCCTTCTCCAAATACCTTCAAACTATCAGGAAAAATTTCAGTGACAGAAAAAAGGACTGACCCCTGTGAGACCACCCTTAGACTTCTCCTTTTTACCAAAGCCAAAACAATGTAAAGAAGAATTAAAAAGTCATCATTTTAGCATAGTGTGTTACCTCCAATTCTGTGCAGTTGATGAAAGATATGACTATGACAAGATAATGAACACGTAATAACACTTCACCAGTTGATTTCTACTTGATTTCTCAAGTGGATAAACTAAACAGTTTCTTTCAGTAGCACACAACAGCTACGAAGTGTGGTCCTTTCCCTCTTACTTGACCTGACCTACAACACATGCAAAGTGAAGCTGGTATTCCCAGGAGTATTCCCAGATTTGGTGTTTCAGAAGTAACATCCCCACAGTTTCTGTGCAGCACCTTCCTCACAGAACACTGTATTATTAGGGTAAAAATGAGCAATATGAAGTTGAAACATTAAAACTCTTGCCTTATTTACACCGCTTGTTATTACAACATCCATCAAAGTTCAATTTTTGTTTCTAGAAAGCTACATGAATGTTGGCTTCAATACTTTCATGGCTAGGAATAAAACATCAGACTTTTGATTACTGATCATTTCACACAGAACATAAAAACTAATCCAGAAACATGCCACAACTTACCCAACAGCAGGATTCACAATTCTGATATAGTCATAACACCTTCCAATGAAAATGCTTTCCAAGTTCTGTGTCGTACCTTCACCTTTCCATTTCCTTCCTCGCACTTCTGAAAAGCTGTTCATAAACAGAATAGAGACTAGTAAGAGAGACAAAAAAAGGCTCTTCATCGTGAATTCTTGACAACCCAAGTTCTTACAAAAAATAAATTAAAAAAAATAAAAAGGAGAGTTAAATGATATAAGTTCAATGGAAACCAGGAGGCTTAACATTTAATGTCTTCAGTAGTGGCTGTAGTTCTCTATACAAATGACGAAGTTGGGCAAAAATCTGAACCTCGTCGGAGAATGTAATCGTACTGTTTCCTGGAATGAATGCAGCAACGGGATACATCACTTCCTTATATCTAAATGTTCTCTACTTCAGAAAAAAACAACTTTTAGGGTTATGATGTTGCCACCTGGTGGTAACTGGGGAGAATTAAATTATACTTCTGAATTCAGGATACATTTATTACATTTTGTACTTACAATGCCTTAGGTTTGCTTTATTGCCATGCTCCAGCTTCCTAAAACACCACAAGTGCTTGCAATTTCATTTATTTCTAAGAAAGGTCTACACTTTTTTTGCATAGATTTCTGTAAAGGCAGAAAATAAATGTTGAAATATGTATCAAGAACAAATAAATTGAAATGCCTAGGTGCTGATCTCCTAAGAACCCAAATTCCAATGTGATCTTGTGTCACATATATGGGTAACATTAGTCACCTCTTTTTCTCCTTCTGTCCAGGGTACTTACAGCAAATTTTTTGATGTGGTAATAGTTGTTTTTTGATTCTTCTTTGCGAAGAAAAATGTCTTGCAGGAACAAACATGACAGCCAGGAAGGATTAAGACACTTCCTGTGCCCTGAAGAAATATCTTCAACTTCCGTTTACTTTTATTCTGCCTCCCATTTCTTCTTGCACGAGTACTTTGTTAGAACATCAAGCGGTATACATGAAAGCACTTTCCATTGTAAATATCCTGTGGTATACACTGCTGTAAATAGAGCCAAATACTTTTTCCTCTCTTTAAAACAATTATTATTATTATTTTTAACTTGAGAGCAATTTTTGTACAGATTCACGTTTCTGAGAAACGTACCCATTCTTTTTCTGTTGAGCAGTCTCCATGCCTCAGTGAATACACACACCTTTATTATTTCTGTACTTATTTATATAGTGCTATAGATATATGCTAGTTAAATGTTGATGCACCAGTTCTCACTTAATGTATATTGCTGAAGGCAAAATCTTTCTAATCGTTGAGTAAATTGCTGATGATGGATTTCTCCTGCAAATGTGATAGAGAGATAACAAGTTGGCTTGTTATCTGCAGGAGATTCTTTAGGAAAGCAAGACTTGCCCAGAAATAGATTTGCAATGTTGGGCTTGCTATGGTGGAGACACACCAAATGCCGTACTTCACTCCGGTTACTTCTTCAGTGCTTTTCCTCCCTATTTCCCTTCATAACCTCTCTGAAACATGGCCATACTTGACGGGGCATGTTAGTCACATGGTTTAAAGTCTACTGCTTTGGATTCAGGATTAGAGAGAATCCATGGAAGTCAAGGAAATTTTTTTTTACCATTGACTTCACTGCAGACAAGCTTTGCCCAATAATTTCAGGAGAGGTACCAAAGGCATCACTGATGGGAACTTCTATATAGAAACAAGCCGAAATTCTCAGTAATTTTTCATTAAGACTAAAACTTCTGCTTAGAAATACATAGGTTGACTTGAAAAGATGGATACAGGGTTTTACAGTGGCTCTTCTGCAAGGACACACAAGGTTAGGGCTCAACAACTTCCCTAAGAAAACCTGGGGGCTGCTCAGTGGTGGTGTAAAAAAGAACATGAACTGTCATAATGTGCCAGAGGGAATGGAAGTGGGTTCAGTAATTGCTGGGATCCCCACCTCATCCCCTGCCAAGCTTCCTTTCTTCACTGGCCACTTGCAGGAATACAACATCCAGCCAGATGGACTTCTGATCTGCGTCAGCACAGCCATTTCTAATTTATGTTAGCTTTGATTTAAATACTTCATGTGATGGCTGATCTAACACACCTCCAGGGAAATTTTTCCCACAGTTAGATAGCCTTAAGAGTCATACCTCAGCCCTGGCCTGAACTTGTTTACCTTTAGCTTCCAGTCACTGGATCTCATGATGTCTTTTTCTATTATGTTAATGAAGAATCTAACCTCAGAAATCGTCTCTTCATGTAAAGTCTTGTAGAAAATGACCAAGTCTCCCCTTAAGCTAGTCCATGAAAAATACACATTTTTAATCTTGCCTCCCACACTCTGGCAGTGCACACTGGATGGAGATCACTGTCCCCTGCTCTCTGTCCCTCTCTCCTAGAAGAGAAGTCTGCCCATGAACTAGAGTCAGCAAAATTTACAGCACATCTGCCTTGGAGATAGTCTAGTTCACAAACCAAATATTAACTCAAACTACCATGAAATTCAGCAAATATTTATGTTCTGAATCCCTGGAAGATGAGGAATAGACACGTTCTCTCTTGTTATTTCTGCCACATGGGAGTGGTAGCTTCCAGCAGAAGGGAGGCAAACAGGTGGGAGCGTTAATCCCCTACTATTACTCAGGCATTAACTGCTGGCAGAATAACCCCAATTCTGTGTGATTTCCTGTTTTAGGCTTTGAAATACAACCTTGAAACTGCCCACATTGCAAGCTCCTCTAAGCAACAAAGCTCACCAGCCTCTGTTTCTTGAGGGCTTGCATCTTTGGTTCATAAATTCTACCTACAGCAGTAACCCAAGTCTCTCCCTGCTTTCTTGTGTGCTATGACACGCTTTGCAAGAAACTCACACACCATCTCAAAATCAGAGTTGTGTTTACGAGCCGATAAGGAAATGCAACCATCTGCTGGCTGGCCAGCTGTACAATGCCTCTGTTTTGCCTTGCTTTCTTTCTCTTGTGTAACTGCTATTTTTTTTTTTCCCAGAGTTGCACAAATTTAATCTTCCAAGATTTGTGCACCTTTGTCAAATGTGACTAAGTAGGTCAACATGCTCAAAAGTTCTTGGAAGCGGAAAGGATGAATGGAAAAGGAAACACCCAGTGCTGCAATTGCTTAAGCATCGTTTCCGTAGATAAAGAGATAAAAGGATTATGTGTGCTGTGTGATCTAGATAATCCTGAACACGTGATCTCTCCTCATCATCTACGAGTTTTACCAATGATTTCACATTTTATTCCTGAGCATTAGTATAGTGAGGACTACTGGGCTAAGATGTATGTGTGCCTTTGCTCAAAGTGTTTCAATTTGTTTACAAATAGTTGCTTAGATTTTTAACCTAGCCAGCTTTCAGTCCATCAAACATACGCCACTGACTTTGTATGGAGGAGGTTTCAGCCAGGAAGTTGTGCTGCATGTACTGTACGGCTGAAAATGCATTTTGGGGACGTTGGTTACGTGCTGGCAGGTCGTTCAACAGTTATGAGCACCTTTTGCCAAATTAACGTGTAATCTCAATTCTGCCGAGCATTCCTGCTTCTTTTGATAGCAGTGAACAAGCACCGAAGGCCGGTGCTCCCGCTCCTTTTGCCTCTGACACGAAGCAAGGAGAAGCAAGGACAGCATGGAGGGCTGCGAGCTGGCACCACTGCTGCCAGGGGCTGGGAGAAGCTCCCCACAGCAGCCTGGCGGAGGATATGCCCATCATCTCCCAAAACACCGATTCCTTTGCGGACACTCTTCCTTTCCTCACACACGGGCATCTGGTCACCCACTCCATTTTGGGGGGGAAAGGGGGGGGGGGGCATTTTTATTCATCGCATGTCAATGCAGAGTGGAATCTCTCCTGCTCCCCAGTTTAACGCAGTGTTTAGCAGGCACTATGCCTCCAGCACACGCACCCTGGGGGTGCGGGACAGCCGTGCTGTGCACACAGCTCCCCACACCCCACGCACGAGGACCCCTCCTCAGCCCCCTCCACCCCCCATGTAAAGGGCCGGGCTGCGCTCCCCGCCTCACACCGCCGCGCCACCACCACTGCGCATGCGCGCCGCCCACCCCGAGCAGAGGCAGCAGCGGGGCGGTGGCGGCGGTCACGTGGCACCGGGCCTCTCCCGCCTCTCCCCCTCCCCTCCCTCCCCGCGCATGCGCGCTGGGGGGGTGTCGCCGCCGCCGTTAGCGCCGCCGGTGCCGGCGGGGCTCTATGGGGAGAACATGGCTCCCTTCCCCGAGGAGGTGGACGTCTTCTCGGCGCCGCACTGGCGGATGAAGCAGCTCGTCGGGCTCTACTGCGACAAGGTAACGGCGGCGGCGACCGGGCGGGGCCGGCCTCTGCCCCGCTCCGCTCCCCAGAGGGGTTTTTGGAGAGTGCGCAGCTGTCAGCGCGCCGCCTCCCCTCAGCGCCCCCCTCACCCCCCCCCCCCCCTCAGCCCCGTCACGGGGGGTGGGTGCGCGCCCTCAGCGCCTCCGGGGTGCTGCTGGGGTGGGGAGGGGGATAAAAAAGAGTTTTCCCCCGCGTTTGTTGGTGTTTGTGCGCTTCGTGCTGGGCAGCGCGGGCTGGGGTGGTGCTGGGAGGAGAAGTTTGGTGCTGTGAGGAGCTGGGGGTGTGTGGTGTGGGGAGGAGGGGGCTGAGGGGAGGCCTTGCTGCGCCCTGAGGGGGAGGTGTGGGGAGCTGGGGTCGGCCCCTTCTCGCAGGTACCCAGTGACAGGACCAGAAGGAACGGCCTCAAGTTGCGCCAGGGGAGGTTCAGGTTGGAAATGAGGGGATATTTCCTCTCAGAAAGAGCAGTCAGGCGTTGGGACGGGTTGCCCAGGGAGGTGGTGGAATCACTGTCCCTGGGGGTGTTCAAGGGAAGGTTGGACCTGGTGCTTAGGGACATGGCGTAGTGGGTGCTAGTGGTAGGGGGGTGGTTGGACCAGATGATCTTGGGGGTGTTTTCCAACCCTAACAACTCTATGAAGGGCTACAGGCAAATACTTCAGAGCCAGCAACCCAAGGAAAGAAGTAGTGCCTCCCATCTGTGAGTAGAAGTGGCTGTTTGCACACCCAGGTGGGCTAGCAGGCACTTAAAAAGGAGGCAGCAGTTACACAAGAAGCAGTGCAGCAGTTTACTGCTGCAGGCAGGACGGGGGAGTCCTCCCTTCCCTTTCCCGTGCCCCCCTGTCCTGCCCCGGGGCTCAGCGGGCCCCCCTTTGGGCCTGTTCAGGTCGCTAACACCGAGGGTGTTTGTGGTCGGGTTGTTTTGTTGGTTTTGATTTTAATCTGTGGCTGCACAGGAGTCTGTGATATCTTAACAGAGGGGACTTTGCAGGAAGGGAAGCGAACACATGGGACTCTTCTCCCCTTGCCCCCTGCTGCTGTATTGAGCATTGTGTTCACAGTGGCTGAACAGGGTTTTCTTGAAGCACCAGGTACTGTAGTCATTTGCTGATACTCTTGGATTTCTGATCCTTAGAGAGGCTTGGCTGCTACTTTGAACCTCCACAAAGTTTTGATCAAATTTACCATGACGTTTTGCTATGCTTTACTTGCTGGAAGTAAAACTACCTGGGCGGGAATTCCAGCTTTCTTAAATATTAGCAAATTTGATAAAACTACCTGGTCTGCAGTGAACATAATCTCTCATCTTCCTAATTTTTTTTAACATACAGGAGTCTGCTTGCTTCCTTTTTCTTTTCAAAAAGCGTAGCCATGGGGATTTATGTGTGTATGTATATTTTTGAAGTGTTCAATCTTGCATCCTTTAACCCCATTTCAGAGCTTGAAGGCCGTGCCTGGCCCATGACCTCTGTGTTTGAGTAACGCTAGCTTTGCATCAGAAAAAAATCTGTGATCTGTTTGACTTCCCTCGTGTGATTGAGATGATGTAATTAGATGAGACATTAGTTCTGCTTACATGTCAATTATAATCTGTAAAGCCATGCGCTTTGTAAATTTAGTTTGCCCTTGAGTGGTCTTTAATTTCGTGAATTATATATTACCTACCGATCCTCATGTGCCCTGTGTGGTGTTAAATAGTGGCTGTCAGGTTAGTTCTTCAGTATAGTAAATTCCCCAAAATGTTAGTGAGGGTGAGATGGGTGCATCTGTGCTTTTCAGGGCATCAACTCTAAGGTTTTTGATGGGTAGAGTAACCAGGTACCTTAAATA